CGATGAATTCGAGTTCATTTTAACTGCGTTGGAGTTTATAGCTATTTACGGACAACGGTTCCTTCCTCTGTATCACTTCAATTTGAGAAGCGGAAGCTGGACTTTCAAGAAGAAGGCACATCAAGACCTACTTGACAATGCTATACAAGGAATGAACATTGGCCATGACCAATCTAAAGATGGCAACAATGCAGGGAAGCACGCTCAATTCGCAAAATTTTCTGATTATTTGGAAACCGCTAAGCGCATAGCAAATCTCTTGCCCAAGTTTCCTCCTCAGCGTAGGCTTCCGGAAGACATAGACATCAACTTCTTACATTTCAGAGTCTAACTCCAATTCTTTTTCCCTCTGTTATTCTTTTGGACATGTAGAATATCTTTCTAATATGCGAGTTTGACAATTTCTCTTGTAAGTATGAAAAAAATGAGCACGCATAAGCATAGATGGATTGCTAAGATTTTAAATAAAAACAATGGTGGCATAACTTGTTGAGCCCTCACCTTTTTGTTTTGTGAATCCTTGAGAGATGCTGCGAATGCTGAGGTTTACAACATCAACCAAAAAAAAATTCCATTCAAATAACCCCCTCACCCATTCACAATTTACATTTACAAATGGTGAGCTGTACAAAAAAAACATAAAACAAATTTCATTCACTGAACCCTCCCTCAGGCATGCACAGCTTACATTTACAAATGGCCAGCAAAATTTTATAAAACTCATCATAGATTTTCAAATGGTTCTAGAAAAACAAAATAAGTACCTCTGACGAGACATCATATCTTTGAAGGAACAAACGGTGATCCATTTTGGAGACCCATCATCATAGAGTGCTAGAGTTAAGCTTCCATCAATGTTCCTAGAAAGAGAGAGAGAGTTACAGAGAGAGAAAGTAAGATAACCAAAGGAGACAGAAACGAAAAACTTAGCTAATTGAGTGCAGAAAATCATGGAATTTTTCAAATGGGTTTACTGCCCTTTTTCCTTAACAGTTCCAAAGTATTTTCCTTTTCATACGGTTTTAGATTTTTAAGTTGTAAACTTATTGCAACCGGTGGGCTGAATCTTATGGCTGCAGTCTGCTCAACGCCCACAGACATCAGGTGAGCAGGCCTGTCTTTTCCTTTCCCTTAGATTTTCCTCTTTTTAGTTTTGTTCATAGCAAGCCTTGGAAATCTGTTCCCTATTTGCACACACTCAAGAATTCATCTCAAAGAAGCAATGAAAACACTGAAAAGGTCTAAACTCACATCCTAGGTAGTGATGAGGGGCAGAAAAAGGATTACGATTAGAACAGGTTATGAGTTTGCTCCTATTAGAATGGGACAAGAAAAGGGAATAGACAAAGCAGAGAAAGAAAAACATTCAGTTCTCTAAGACATTAGTCAATACAGGGTGAAGACAATAATGAATGCTAAACCAGCCAGTGCTTTTAAATAGTTCGAAAAATAACATAAAAATCTATTTAGACTTGATCGTACTATAAATAATTAATATACACATGATATTTCAAATTTCAGAGAAAAAGGAAGAGTAAATTACAAGAAAACCCCTTCAGCTTTAGCCCTTATTTCAATTTAGTCCCTGAATTTTTAATTTAAGCATTTTCATCCTTAAACAATGAACTAGTGGCCAATGAATAATTATGTTACTAACATCCATTAGCTTGCCATCCAAATACATCACACATGAAAAATTGTAAACCACTGTTTGGATGCTTGGATAAGTCACCCGTGGGGCAGTCAATGTCAAAGACCCCTCTCACACACCCCTTGAAGTGTAAGTTAGAAGCCACCTTTCTTTTCTGCATTAGGAAATTCCACTGCCTCAAAGGTCTCTTTCTTCCTCTCTCCCTGTCAGAACCAGAGATATCATGAGGAAGGACCCTTGCACAAACACTATCTATGATGAGAGAGAGTAAGAGCCTTGACATTTAAAGTTTCATGGTACGTTATACAATGGTTTCAAAATTTCTCATGTGTGATGCGTTTGGAATGAGAAATTAATGGATGTTAGTCACATGACGGCTGATATGAAACTAGTTTATAGTTTAAGGGTGACATGAGTTAAGTTAAAAGTTGAGGGACTTGCTGATACACAAGCCAAAGTTGAGGGAATTATGTGTAAATTACTGAAATGAAAGGCTTGGTTTGCACTATCCTTTCCACCATCACCCTTCATATCCAATAAAATAACAAGGGGAACGATTTTCACACTCCCCTTTTTTCCCCACGTGCTCCTCCTTTTTTCTAGCCTTAAAACTGAATAAATCAAATGATAATCAAGGGGAAAAAACAAGGACAGGAGTGCAGAAGGAGAAAATGGGATTGTGAAAATCACTACCCAATACCAAACCTCGTATTAAATTATTACAATTAAAACGCAAACCATCCTTCCTAAATCAAAGACAGGGAAAAAAAAAAAAAGACACTAGCATGAAATACACCAATATTCTTTTCTTCGCAAGATTGTAAATCCATATACAGCAAACACATATACACACAGGCATACACACCCAAAAAAAAAAAAGGGAACATAACAAGAAGAAAATTCATAATATGCAGACCAGGCTACACAGAATAGAAAAGGAAATTAGTAACCTTATTGCAAAATCCTTAATACAAAATAGCAGGA